GCCCTGAGTAATATGAATGTTATAAATAAACAAATCATGATTTTCTTTTCTTTTTATAACGCAAATGTTCTTCTAAGTCCTATTTTGGCTAGGAATGAATGTGTAAGTGCCAAATATCTCAAAGGCAGTGCAACAGCAGAACTCTTCTTATCTAAAACCCAGAATTTCTTGAGGAAAACCTCTGCCCCATAAGACTTAAAGCCTGAACTTTATAGTTAAGATAGTTGGAGTACTTCAGAAAATCATCCAAAGCCAAGGTCATCACTGCCTCTTCCAGTCTTCCAAAGGTATGCATGCATGAACTAGCCTGTAGGTTTATTTCTATATTCCAAAATCAACAGTCTATGAGCTACAGTGATAGAGTGGCAAATACTTTTCCATCCTTCTATGGTATTTCACTTTAAAACTCTCACTTTAAAATAAACCCTTAAATTCTTCATGAACTTCATGACTTCTACAGATACATTACAGAAACAGCCTAAAGAGAGAAAGCCAAATTGAAAGCTTTAAAAAGAAAAGAGCTAGATGTAGATAGGGTGTAAGGAACCAGCTGATGACCTCAAAATTATTAAGCAAAATGGCTAAGAGGAAATCTTACTAATACTCAAGCTATATACCATTTCAGTATTTGCATCCATTATTTCGTCATTACAAACTACTTTATCTGTTCATAACGATACTATCTTGTCACTAATTAACTTTGTAATATTACCTGAATATAACTGCTTCAAGTATGTTTTCATTAGTTATTTCTTAGTGATCTATTAAGTTTCAAAATGTAGGCAGGTATGTCCTACATAATATTGCAGAGGTTTTTCCGTGTGATGACATAATGCTTGGTGATGAAGCAATTAATAAGACTTAACCTTCATTATTCATTTGTCCACTTTGCATTTTAAAAGCATTTCTCATCTTCAGAAAGCATAAACTTGAGTCTGTTAAATCTCACAAAAACTCTCACAGGTAGTTGCTAGTCTATTAATAATAAAAATATGCCAACTGTCCTACAGAGAAAGGAAGTTACATTGTTACCTACTTTTACAGAGACCAGAACAACATTGGATAATATGTAAAGAATATTATATGCAAGTACTTGCTTTGCAAAAAGTATTTCACAAAACATAAAACCATGCACAGGAAGGAGAAATGGTAGTGACTGAATTGCTGATATGAAACAACAGAAAAACTATGTATGACTGTAGAAAATATTGGAACACGCATCACCGTCATCCTACGATACCTCTTAGCAGTATTAGAAAATAATATTTTTAAAGTTCCAATTGCTTTTCATGCTTGAATTTTATTTCCCAGTTACATCTTAGCAACATATAAATATATTTAATATCAACTATTTCCTGTCTTCATAAATACAGTCTGATATTCTCTGTATTTTTTGTATTTACTGGTGACTATAACAAGAAGCATTTGCTAGTAAAACTCAACTAAGAAGGCCAGTTTTTTCTTGTCTACTGACTATCTGATTCTGGTGTATCAGGGCACATAGTAAAAACATTACAGAGTCTTCTGACAAGCTGATCTGCAAACAGTAGCAAAACAGTTTTTCAACACTAATCTCATTACCTACAGAGCAGATACTATTGCTTACAAATCTGAAATTCAAGACAAGGATTGTTATCTTTTTTGGTAACTTCTTCTTGTGCCAAAGACATTACCCTGCTTGTAATTAAATGTATATGTTTGGTCTTGGTCACATTTTGTATAGATGTATTGGTATGCATTTTGGTATATATGCACTAGCAAGTACTGCTGTTTATTTAACAGGTGAAACTTCAATCAAAGACTGTAATAAAAGTCCTACTTTGGGTACTATGGACCTTAGAAGTTTCATTACAAAGCACAGATTATAAATTAAATTTAAAAATTAAAAATCCACATGGACTTTTGTAACAAAACTACCTTGTATCTAGTAAATGTAACAAGTGATAATTGCATACTGCCTACAAACTACTTTTGTTCCCAAACTCTGTATGTGTTTGTCTCATCTAAGAGAGAAGGAAGCTTATTTATTGTGCAAAAGGATTCCTGTATACTTTATGACTCTTTAAAATACAGTTTATGAGGTTTCTTATGGGGACTTTATTGGTTGAAAAGCAAAATGAAATGTGAGATCAAACTTGCTCATGTGTTTGTTCTTTTTCTTCTTTAGTAAATGGAGTTTGTAGAAATAATTTTTATGCATACTTTCTAGATGCTTCAATAGTTACAATTCTATAGCAAGGTTCTTCTTATTATCAAAGCCATGTAAGTGCAATCCTCAAGACATATATAATCAAGTTAATTTTAACTTCCCATCTAAATGTTTAATTTAGATAATAAGATATATTATTACATAATATAGAAGCATGTTATTCCACATAGTTCATGAGGCAACAAGTATAAACATATATATAAATGCTACAAAGCAGTTCCTATGTATTTAACTATATTGGTGAAAGTTAAAAAGTATATACATTTGCTATTTTAAGAGTTGAAACCACATCTTTCAACAAAAATTAGCTGCTTTCATTTTGTACATGCATTTAATTCTATCTGGAAACTTTCTGTCATTAGGAATAGTACAACTGTAGTTTCTCATTATGTTTGCTGCCAGAATCTGTACTTGGTTGCTCAACTAAAGATCTTATATTGCTAATTACTGCCACATGCCCATATCACAAGCAAAGGAAAACTTATTGGTTCTGACAATCCTTTCTCTCAACACTGAATTTCCAAATGAAAACTTAAATTTTGGCCAAACATAACATTTCATCAATCTTGTTCTACTGACTGCAAAAGCAACATCAAACAAGGGGTGCTAATGGCTTTTTACTGTGCAGTTCACAAGCTTAGATTCTCTGATGAAAGACCCACATGAGCAAAGGATGTCTTTCAACTACTTAGTAATTTACAACTGAACCAGAAAACAATGCATAAAGTAAATCAAACAGTTTGTATGCTGATGATAGAGTTGAGTTTCAAATGATAAGTTATATGGGCAGTAGAGATCCGCAGAGAAAGCATTGACAACAGTGAAAGCTAAAAACAAGCAGATAGTGCATATAAATAAAAACAAAAAGAAACAGTGAAAAAGTAAGGTTAAGCACGTCCCAAAGCTAGCAGAAGCCTGTAATCTGGAGTTGAACTTTTCAGGATGTGGGGTTCTGACCGAAGATCAGGTCCATGTTTAGAGACATCTGAGCAATGCTGGGTACTAGTGACAATGTAAAAGGGGAGAGACTAAAGCTCTGTATGTAAAGTATTCCCTTCTGCTGTAACTCCCTTGGAGCCTCAAAAACAGAGGTGTAAGTTCGGTGGTTGAAAAACTTCTCTGAGAAACCAAGTATGAATACAAACGTGGAACAGAGTAGGCCTCTGTCAAAAAATAAGCATTCTGGGAAGTTAATGATACTACTCTTTCTCAGAAATCAATCAAGGAATTTTGTTAATCTGGGTAAGTGACTTACGATGTAAGTTTCCAACATTAGCGTTTACAGTAAAAAATAACTTTAGACATTTGAAGGTATCTCAAAAAATGAAAGTACTGAAGTTTTTCAATTGTGTCATCTATCTGCTTGAGTCTTATTGAACATACAATAGTATAAGCTATAACTAAAGAAAAAAACCCTTCGATTTATCTACCCAGTGATGTAAAACAGTACTCTAGAATTAGCTCCGTTTTACAGTCTTTTTGCTCCACAGAGTGAAGAAACAACTTGATAAAACCATAATCCACATTTATAAAACAAGGCATGGATCATGATTTGAAAGAAATTAAGTAAAAAACATATCTTCTTCAAATAAGGAGAGGAACAATTAATCAGATGTGTTGGTTGCAGTATCTTCTTTATGTTTTATGGACAGGATTCTATATGACTAGTCTTTTAGGGCAAATATATCTCTACCAGTGAATGTCACAATGGTATGCAACGAAACACAAGATGGCAACAATAATGATGATATAGAGGAGAAACTACTACATCGCCAAGTACATCTAGTTCATTACAGGCTATATCCCAGCAGGTCTAGATGCTGGGAATGCCAGAAAGAGCTGGGTTTAACTTGGTCAAGAAAACAAGCAGGCTTTCAATAGAAATATAATGAGCTAATGTGGTCCAATAAAATTTAACTTTTGATACCAGATAAAAATAATTTTTTATGGGTTTGTTTTTTTTCCATACTGTATTGATACTAAGGCTACTACTTGCTCGCCTTAGGGTAGGTTTTATGCAGTATGTGGAAGAGAATCACTTTAAAATCCCTGGTCACAGATCCTAAAACCACAAGCATTTGCAATATTCATGTGAAATCAATAGGAGCTCCATGAGATCTGAATCTCCTGTTTGAACAATGAGAAACAGCACTATCAGAATTCTGATGGTCAGTCTAATGGAATAACCTGATCCACATAAATCTCATATTTTGCACTCCAGTAAACTCAAGTTTTCTAAATAACTGAGTTGTTTGAAAATTATCATTGCCACTTAGTTAAGAGATGACCATATGATAATCCAACGCCCAAAACTCTGAAGTGACAAATTAAACTTGATCCAGAAGGTAACTGCATATGCAATATCAGCATTTTTTACAAGATATGTCAGTGTAGTCCTAGTGGTATCCACGTTCTCTTGAAGTAGGGACAAAATGTTGTGACTTGTACCATAGCATAGCCCAGGTCTCTAATTATAGTGTGACAACTCTCCAGTGGTAACATCTGATATCAAGCAATACAGCCTTACAAGCTGTGAGTCAGCTGTTACCACCTTCAGGGGCTCTTTAAAGTCACACAACCACACCTGGTCTCTTTTGACTTACTTTCTGCCTCGGGTTGAGTTAAAAGTCCCGCCGTATTTCTTCCGATTAAGGATGAGAGCAGCAATTTCTGGCACGTAGCGAGCAAACATTGCCTACATGCATGAAACAAAAACACAAAAAAAAAAGAAAATGGCATGCAGAGAGTGTTCTACTGCAGCAGAGGCAGCAGAGCCTCTTGGGATACTTACTTTCTTCCACTAACCGCACTATAGGAACCACCATATTTCTTGCGGTTTCCTATTAACTCTATGATTTCAGGGACGTAGCTGGCAAACATGGCCTAAGAAGAAGATAGGAGACAGAAGAAAAGACTAAAAAGAGAGGCCAAAGAAAGGGGGATGATGAATATTTTCAGAAGATCTATATCTTTAAGATCTGAAAATGCAAAAGAATTAGAACTATGAAGTTGTTCAAAAAGAAAATTTAAAAAATGTAAAAGTTCTTATCAAACAAAACAAGAGAGCTCAATGCAAAAGTTGGTCTTGGAGAAGATGCACACCTTATAAATTAAAAAAATGGTCAAAAGAAGAAAAATAGGCACACAAAACGAAACAAGAACAAAATTAATTCAAACAGGTATCTAATCATAAAATACAGTTATGTCTAATTCTTCCTGAAGAGGAGAGGGGAAAAAACCTATCCAAGCTCCACTGCAAAAACCAAAACTAAGTATTATCATTACTGGTACATTTCTATTTTAAAAGACAGACTTTTTCCCCCATGATTAGGATTCAAAAGGAGTCAAAACCAAGATGGAATCAGGGGTTATTCTCCCTGTCAAGAAACAAAAATGTCACCCCCCCGTCCCAAAAAAAAACTTTTTCCAAAAGTTTATGTTTTTAAAAGGATTGGAATAGCACATGATAGAAAAAAGGTTTTGAGGAGAAAATAAAAATTATTCTGCCATGTTTTGTCCAACAAACATCTTCCTTGTGGCTGGATACTTCGAAGAGCTACTGCCATGTGACATGGTCTTTGTCTTAGTATGTTAATAAACATAGATGGGAATGCATATATTTATGCTCACATATATAGTTATATATATGTATCTGTGTGTGTCTCATATGGCATTCATAACTTTAGTTATATGCATATCACCTCTGTAAGATGGATATATGAAATCAATATATGAAAGTAACAATATACATACGTATGTACATGCACAATATATATTGTGAATCATCCATAAAACACTTACCTTACACAGTGTAAATATTAAAATAAACCTTGTTGTTTTAGAGAATAATGTTGCAACAAGTCCTACAATATTACTAATACTGATAAATAACAGAAAAGCCAACATAAGACAATTAGTAACATCGGTGCTATGTACATACTGGACAAAGAACACAAGAATTTGCTGATATAAAAGGATACTGGTTATGGCCATGTGATAAATTGTGAGTTAAAATTGTGCTATATGACATGAAAGGATGTTTGAAATTAAAGAGAATGTGGTTTGCCAACATCGGGATCAGGCAAGCTGCTCTTTAAGGCAGTCCAAAGCCACAGTGTTTGTTGGAATTCTGGGAAGGAACACAGAAGGGTGGGTAGGACTTCTGAAACCGCAAAAGTGCCTTTAAGTATCAATAGCAGCCTCAAAAAATGCACTACAGTCAGTCATTAAAAAGTAAAGGACTACACATAACACTGTAAGTTGTAATATTAAGGCACTTCATGTATTCACATGCATTAATCATTTAAATGAATTAGAAAAATTCTGACTGTACTAAACTGGATTAATTTGATAAGCTCTGCCAAAATATTGATTACAGAAAATACCAGTGTGTATTAAACATATTTAAAAGCTCCATAATTAATTTTAATTCACAAAGTCAGGTATTATTTTACTACACCATTGAGATATACAGGATGAAGTATTAAGGTAGATTGATAATAACAAAAAAATAAAAAAGAAGAGTTTTTACCAATCCCCCAAGGATGAAGAAGACCATGAAAAGGCGACCAAGGGTTGTTTTTGCATAAACATCTCCATAGCCAACAGTGGACATTGTAACCATCAGTAAATAAACACATTCCCAGTATGTTAGCGGTTGATTATTTTGAAAATTTTCCCATGGATCCCCTGAGTTCTCCACCTGAAATGTACAAGAAAATATATAGTGAATTAATAGAGTTGTACCACAAATCAACTCTGTTGATATATGTGTGCATATATATATGTGTAAAATTTGGTATATAATATAAACTCCGGATCCCTTCCTGTGATTTCTTTTGAACAAATACAGAACCTAACCCTGTCCCAATATGGGTTTTTTTGCCAATATAAGTAAGCTTGCCATTCATACTACTTATGGAAAGTATCATTTCCATTCACGACTAAATAATATAATTTATTAGTTCAGCTAGGTAAATTCATTTTACAACAATCCGTTCAGAACTTTTTCAGAGTAAATCTTGTAATGTTTATACTTCTTATGCTTTTGTTTAAAAGCATTATGTAGCTATTAACAGTGACATGTCAAGTTTAGTGATACACTATTACATTTGCAAGAAGCCAGCTATTGTATGTGACAAAGTTACAAATTAATCAGTGGGAAAGAAGCATGCCTTCTAAAATTTTTCCAAAGTAAGAAGCTTAAAATTTGCAGATTCCTACAGTAGAACAGAGAAACTTATGCTGAAAACAAAAATTAAAATAAAAACAAACAACAAAATCCAAATCCTAGAAAACAGTATTCCCTCCCTCCCGAGGTAAAAGCTGTTTCTTTTTTTTCTTTTCTTTTCGATTTTCTTTTTTCTTTCTTTTTTCTTCCCCTTTTCTTTTCTTTTCTTTTTTTTCTTCCCTTTTCTTTTCTTCCCTTTTCTTTTCTTCCCTTTTCTTTTCCCTTTTCTTTTCTCTTTTCTTTCCCTTTCCCTTTTCCCTTTTCCCTTTTCCCTTTTCCCTTTTCCCTTTCTTTTCTCTTTTCTTTTATTTTCTTTTTTCTTTTTTCTTTTCTTTTCTTTTCTTTTCTTTTCTTTTCTTTTCTTTTCTTTTCTTTTCTTTTCTTTTCTTTTCTTTTCTTTTCTTTTCTTTTCCTTTTCTTTTTTATTTTCTTTTCCCTTTTCTTTTCCTTTCTTTTCTCTTTTCTCTTCTCTTTTCTCTTTTCTCTTTTCTCTTTTCTCTTTTCTTTTCCTTTTTCTTTTCTTTTTCATATATAATAAACAAAAACGTCCAAAATTTCAGTGCATCTTTATAATAGTGAAAATTAAATTACTATCTGGTATAACAAGAAGATAAACATTTAGAAATTAATCTTATATAGCTGGATGCAGCTCAAGGTAATTAAATTGCTCTGGGCTAACTACAATATAATTAAATCATAATATCATTCCAAAAGGATTCCTAAATAATTTATTACTATTAGTAACTCAAAATTTTCCTGATTCTTAGTTGATCAGAAAATTTAAAGGACACACTTAACCATATTTAATTATACTTACCAAACAAATCAGTAAAAGCTACTAGTTTAAAATACACAATTGCCATATTCCTATCATATATACGAGTATTCAAATTTATGAGCTCATACGTACTTTTATACTATCTTACGTTTTTCAGGTATTGTTAAGTGCAGAACAAAAATCTATTGCAAAAATCTGTTATTGGTGGTTGAAAGCTACATCAAGAAATTTGAACTTTAAAATAAAAATAGAAGGAAATAATCTCTAAAAAATTGCTACCTGGAATGTCAGCAATCTCATTGCTTCTCGTGGCAACACAGAACTGCTTTTTTCTAGCACAACCATTGATTTCCCTGGACCTCAGTGTCATTTCAGCTCTGCCAACCCCTTCCAGGAAGCACTACGGGTAGTTATTTAGGAAACATTGCCACCTACTGGTAAATTGTAATCATTCAAGAACTTGCATCAGTTCAAGCCTCATATATTATTTCTGAGGTTAATGATGTATTACTTACTATTCAGAATTAGTATTGAGTAGAAGCCTCGAGAAGCTGTGATGTCTTTTTTTTTTTATTGTACTCTATAGATAGACTGTTAAGGGATTATCCAGAGCAAGACAATTTCAGGTAATAAAGTAGCTCAGAGAGTAGATGATCCATGAGAAAAAGTCAATGAAGTATTTTGAAATATACTTACCAAATGTATGAACCCAGCTGCTGTCAGCCACGTGCTGATAAATATAGAGCACAGATTCACTAGCTTGATGGAGTTACTGAAAATAAAGAAAATCCAACAACAAATAGGAACTTAGGCTGGAATTTATCACACATTTTTAATGTGCACTTGTATACAATTGCACACTAGACTGAAAGAGTCTGATGATGATTTCTGAAGAGATGCAGGCTCACTAAAAAACTTAATCAAAAGCCTACGTAAAATATGTATTATTTTGCCTTTGCAGAGTTCATATTTGCATAATTTAGATAGCTTGAAATAAAAATTCCAATACACTTGAGAGCAGAGAGACTAATAGAAACAGTAGCTACATATGCACTCATAATCAAACAAACTGAAAGAAAAAATGTTTTTTCACAAATAATTTGCTTGCCTCTTAGTACACGCAACTTCTCATTTTTCATTACTACACACCTCAGCAATTATTTACATGTCGATATTCTGCTACCTGGACTACATCCATGCAGGTCCAGTGAATTAAATTGAGCAATGACAATTAACATTGGCTGCTAAACACTGCATTTATTCATACAATTGACTGATGTTTTTTAATTACTTCATTCTTTGTTAGCTTGTATGCTCCTTCTATACTCATTGTGCTTTTGACCCCAGACCTGCAGAGGCTTTAAAAATTAATAGCAAGAGTTTTTTGTTGCATTGACACCATGTTAACATTTGCATACATAGCCACAGGGAAAGACTATTTCGCTACGGTTATAGGAAGAAAAAAAGAAATTTTGCAGTTAATCTGTAAATGTCATGCTGCTTTTGTGAAAAAAATATTATTCCTAAACTAACTAATTTAGGTATTTTACACTTCCTAAGTAAAGTCCTACGTAATTTTCATATTATTTTGCTTGCATGATCTCCTATGGACTTCTTTGTGGAAATTCATATGGAGCTAGAGTATTTCATAATTTACATTCACAATTTTCTAAAAAAAAAAATATACAAAAAGTACAAAATTTGAACCTACCAGTCAAACTCTGCAAACTCTTTTTAGTCCCACTGAGTAGTATGTTCCCTACTGTAGCCAGGAGTGATTTTGAAGCAAGGACCTCACACAGTTCAGGAGGAAAATACCATACTTAACAGTTTGTGGAAGAAATATAAGTAATGCTTGCTCCCTCTCTGCTTACAAAAATCACTATTATTTCAAAAGCTAATAAGGATATTCAACAAGCACACAAGGAACCGAAGTCCATGTATTACTATGTCTAAATAATCTTACCCATTTATGGAACTGTACTGGAAATAGCTCTTCTTTGTTTTGAAAACATTTTTAACAAATAATAATGCCTCAGAAAAATCACTATTACTAAAGCAATACAGTCCAAAAGAATAAAAAGTCAGTAAAAAAATCACTATCAGTGTTATTAGTTGTAGTTTTGCAGTATAATTTAATTAATATTTCTGTTTATAACTACTTTAAGGACAACAAAAATGCATTAGTTTCTAAACAAAGCTGAGAAGTTAACCTGGAAAATTAACCAGACCAGCTCCATTAAAAAGATTTTTAAGACAGTGTAAATATTTTTTCCAGTTAGTGAAGTGGGCAACTGTAGGTGTTAGGAAAGAAATACAAAAATGCTCAAAAATAAGATAATATACCAGCATTTCTGCAATTAATTAGCATTCACCTACTTCAACACATATTCCCTAATTCCCTCTTTCTAAAGGTATGGTTGATTAAGGCTCATGTTTTGTTGGTACTAACATTCAGTCATAGCACAGGACCCTAAACAACAGGTTCCTACATTTAAGAAAATGACAGAAATAATGCTTATGCAAAGCTCCATTATGAAAGACTAAATATCATCCTTCACATGAACTTAGAACAGGATAGGCTTCTGATTTAGTAATGTGTCAGTTGGTGTCCACATATTACTGTACTAGAAGTAAATACCAGCAGTCATTAAAGATAACTATTTACATGACTTGTTTGGTACATTTTATTTTTGCAGATTTATTAAATATTGTACCTTATCTCTCCTCTGTGAAATACTCCTGTGTTTCTGCCAGAGTCTAAATATAGATCAAGGATTAGTCACAAACATTTTCCTGCTCTTTAAGCTCTTTCCAACATCTGTGCAAAATCCCTTACTGTGAGTCCTGTCTAAGCCTCTATAGTTTCGTTGAAAATTATTAGAAAAAAGTGAAGGAGAGAAATTTGCAGCTGAACACCACACAATTATTTCTATTTCATAAGACACAGAAACAAAAAATACTGACTAAAATACATTTAATTTTAAATTAGGGATATGAATAGATCCTTGGCAGACTACAGTCTTTTAATACCTCATAGTAAAATTTTGCTTTGCTTTACTAGTTTTTTTCAAATATAAATAATATTTTTTCAGATATTATAATAATTATCTAACACTGCCACACTACTTTGCTAGTCTTCTCACTCCCTCTACTTTTGCAACATTTAGCATTCAATCTTCCTTTGGATTCCAGTGTTTGGAACAGCCCTTCTGCCCATTGTGTAAACAATATATGCTCCTTTAACCCTTATATCTCAGTCAATAATTCCAGAGGTAATTTTAATTTATAGGTTAGAGTAAAGCTTTTTCCTTATAATGAGAGAAAGAGGAAAAGAAGGACATATTTTCTTCTCTAATTGCACCAAATATTAAAAATACAGCAGTGCCTTTTATACCCCATCAGTTTCTCATCTTGCCAGTAGTTACTTGTTATTAATGTCAACCACACTGAAATGCCTCTAGTCGAAAACAGTCATATAAGGAGCTCTGTTTTACAGGCTTTCTAATAATCAACATTTGGGTTTTGCACTTATTTGGACATTGATATAAATAAACACAGATATGATGATATCTAATCTAACAGTAAATTTTTCAGAGAAATGCCCTTTAAATAAACAGGATAATCTTGAGTAAGCCAGCTCTAAATACACTGAATGTGATCAATAAAGTACCCCTTCATTTATGGATCTGGACGTTTACAAATCCGCCACTCCTGAAAGGGCTCTTAGCCTTTATCCAAAATCCTTTCAGTTAATGGGGTTTTTCCATTTTCTTTTGGCGAGGTTGTTCCATGTATTAAATGCAAACTCATTGTATATACTGAGCTCTTGTACAAATTACTCTCCTCTGTCATATTGGCAGCATTCTAAGCTACTGGACATCTTCACTGTACGTTCTTTGATTTCTTTATTTGACAGGAACCGGATTCCTAAATAGTCACACAGCTAAAGACAGAGATAGCAAGAGAGTTTTATAGCAAATTTAATAGTTTCAAGGTTAAGGGCTGAAGAAACAGCTGTTTTCCATGAGTGTGTACAAATCTCAAGGAACTATTTCCCCATAACTACTAATTAACACAGCAAGTAAATGGAGTTACTTGCACATAAAGCCTTCACACATGCGCCATCAAATGGTGGAGAGAGCATAGGATTATAGAATGGGACTGAGTTTACAGTATTTATTGGAAGCTGGGTTCAATATTTCAGCTGGAGCATTTTAGGGAATGATGTAAGGCAATGTGTCTTCAACTGCAAGGTATATGAAGACTCCTTTTTTCCTTCAAAATTATCTTTTGTCCAAAGTTGTGCTGCTTCTGCATAGCTATCATATATTAATAGCCTGAAGAATAAGTGAAACCCAGGAGGTTACTTGGAATATTTAAATATTCTTTTAAAGAAATGCTAATGACAATGAACATAATGAACAATAAAGATACATAATGAACGATAAAGACAGCTGAGTGTAAAATTAATTCTTAATTTTTTGATGAGAATAAGGATGTGCAGTTCAAAAAACCTGAAATAGAGCCACAATGATTAATTCTCAAAATACTTTTTAGGTGTATTCTGTTGAATGAATTTTGATTTCTGCTTTTCCAAGGCAGAGGAATATGGACTGATTATGTGGAAAGAAGCAATATTTAATCAGTGCAGAGCTCTGTAATTCATTCTGCTTTTAATCTGTCAGCACTCAGTCTTGCTCAGATATTTCAGATGTAACACATCAAGTGAAATCTTCAACTGATCACACAGCAAAAGATGCTGACACTGAGAAATCACTCATCAGCAGAAAAAAGGTTTAAATAACAGATTAAAAAAATGGTTTTTTCCAGAAAAAAAAAACCAACAATAATACAACAAACATATATTACTGGGATCACAAAGATAAGCCATTTATGTTCTGTCACCAATGCAGCTAACTCAGTATGTAAGAAAATGTCTTACCTTGTTTTAAGGATATTCAGAAACTGCAAAATTTCTGAAAACTGTATCAGTCTAAGGGCTCTTAAAAATCTTAAACCTGCAGTAAAGAAGATAAAAAAAAAGCTCTAGGAAAAAATAATTCAAATGACAACAATATTTCATTTACAATGACAGTGATCAATGAAATCAACATAGGTAGCATACAAAATGTCAAATACCTTTGAAATGTTCTTCCATATTGAATTGTTCCAAGATCTTTACCAGGTCTTTTTCAAGTTGTTTTAAACTTATTTCCTTAATAGCTGAAGTATCCTACCAGAAAGTCTTAGTTTACATAGGAAGCCATGGGAGGAGACATACAGGCTAAAAGCTAAGGGGAAAAGACCTCACTGAGGTTCTGTTGGTAGTTCTAGTGCACATGTCCTTCTCTTCTAGGTTGTGAAAGACACATACAGATCTGGAAACTCTGTCCTCCAAGCTCCCACATTGCTTAGTGAAAAATAAGAGATTATGGGCAAGAGATCTGACAACCTGGATAAAGTCGACTGTGTATATGCCTGATTAAATTGGTAAATCTTAATGACGTAAAATCTTCTACTGTAATAATGCTCCCTACCTCCACCCTAATTTCCAAAAACTCAAGCAGAACAGAGGAACAACACATTATCTCTTAAAAATGACAAATCTACTACCTTTTTTTTTCCATCAGACTACAACTATAGGAACAGATAACACCGACTATTAAAGTAGTAACTATTTTTACAAAAAAATAGCATTTTTGTGTTGAAATCATGTTGCATAAATAGCAATTTCCAGACAACTGCAAAGCCAGCGAGACATACACAGAGAGCGTGTGCACAAAAGAAAATATTATAGAAGATTAAAGGCTTAAATTATTAAAAGAGACTTATGCTGATAGTAAATAATTTGGCTGCAGATCTTTGGCATATGAATCAAAGTACATTGTGTATTATACACATGCACAGCTTATAAAATTAAAATAAGACTTGGAGGATAATTTTATTAGACAGTACAGCCAAAAGTTACATAAAAGTTGTGTAACATGGTATTGTGACTGTTACAGTTAGGTCCAGGGCAGCTTCTTCTCATACTTTCTCTTTACTGACATTTATTTTACCTACTTCCAGTGCTAGAAACTACTTTTTATTTCTAGAAATTCAAGGAAAGACTGGTCCTGGCAAACACATAAACCTGGTCACAACCTTTATCATCTCAGTGGATTCGAGAGGTTCCCCACAAGAGCAAAGATGCATGTGGTGAGATGTGTTTAAGTCAAGGCTTTATTTCTACAGCATTCTTAGAAAGTTGTTAATAAAATTTTTTACTCCTGTTAAGACTCATACATAGCCTTATTAAGTAGCCTTGTTAAGTCTTCTAAGTAGACTTGCCAAAGCAGAAAATCACACCTGTATGTATATTACGCGGATATAAAGTTTATTTTTAGTTACTGACTGTGGACAACCCTGAAGTTTAATCATAACCTGAAAACTAGATTTGGGGGTCTAGATGAAAAGCAATAAAATTCTGTTTAATAATTACAAACTTTCAACCCATTTGCAATTAGAGAATGATCATTTTAGATTATAGTGCTGAAACTGAGAGAGATGTCCCTGTGCTCCACTTACAGTAGCTCCCACTGCTACTTCTATCCAAAGAGATGTGGCTGGGCAAGGATGGAGAGGACATTTACTAGGAATCCTGAACTTCCTCAGCTCTGTTCCATCCAGCTATGTCCCTCACTCCACTCCTTAGGATATTTTTGAGAAATGGCTAGTGGGAGAAAATTCCTTCCTTTCAAATGCTTTGCATTGCATCTCAAAGTATTAAGATGGCCAAGTTATCCATAGCAATGTTTCAAAAACAAGCCTGACATCAAAGTTAGCAATAAAACCTCTATCTCCAAACTCTTACAATGCTTCAGATATATTTTAGTTGCTGAGACACCAAACAATAGAACAAAAAGACTATGGCTTCAATGTATTTTTTGGTGAAAGACAAAAATCATTATTGATTATATTATGCATTTACTATAGCCCACACTATTTTAAAGAATTCCCTTCAGAGAACAGAATTTAAAAAAATGAAAATAAGTGGAGAGTTTGCTTGAACAGTTTAGTTGAACTAATTGTAAAAGGTTACAATCACCTTGTAATCTCTGTAACTTGTCTATGACGTTACTTGTGGGGCTGTGTTTTACAGCTAAAGGGATTATTACACAGAAAGGACCATATTTAGATCTTCAGAAAACTCAGTGCATTACCTTCAAATATTAAGAACAAAAATGAAATTAAAATAACAGTCTTCCTTATCATGATGGCAAATTCTTTCCAGTATTCTACTCTTTTCAAGACCCAAGTTGTTCTGTTATTAGGCTCCTATATGCATGTCATTTTATATGATTTTCTGTACTTTCTGTCTTGCAAATAATCTGTGAATGCCATCATTCTAGAAAGAAAGTGGTACTTAGTAAGAATCTCTTCCTGTGTTCATAGTATCAGGACTTCAAAAGGCATAAACCCTCTTAAAAGGCACTAAGAAAATGCAGATTCTCTAGATGAGATATTGAAACCTTCATAGACAAAATACCATCAACCTGTATGATGCTACCTCTTCATATTCTATAGATGTGTTTATATTTAAATTAGCTTTTGCAGAAACATCAGTCATGTTAGAACCATTTAATTTTTGTATTTATTATAAAATATATGCTATATTAGCCAACAATATCCTCCGGTAAATCAATATGTATAGGAAACAGCTATTAGGAAAACCGTATACAAAATAGAGATTGGGAAAACCCTTCATACCAATATAACTTTAAAGCCTATAAAAATTAGGTATTTCACGTATTTTCAAAGCCCATTACAATTATATTCTCAGTTTTGCTTCAAAGGACCTCTAAAGGTATTTTTAATGAAAACCTAATTGGAATATAATATTCTTTCCAGCTATGTAGAGACATCACCTCATCTAAATTTCATCAGCAGAATGAATACTGCAGGAAAACACTTCTGCTTGCCCTTTTAGTCACTGTTCCTGACCAGGTGCTGAACAAGGAGTACAATCTCCCTCAGTGGGATAGTGTGTTAGGATACTGGATTTAGTAATTAAGCCACTGATTCACTTCTGAGTTTTATAATCCCCTTCAGTAGAAAATCTAGCCAACTGAGGGTTTTAAAAGCCAATGGATAACGACTGATGTCAGAGTCAAGGAGAACCTGGCTCTGGAGGAAACATGCAGAGACTGGGAGTAGCATTCTTAGTATAAACCATGGTGAGAAAGGCAGACAGTTTGCAGATAGAGCTGAAAGGCTAATAGTTGAGCAGGGAAGAAACCTGTTTAAAGTAGAAAAACCAGTAATATTCATAAGAGATGGGCATTCCAGAACAGTGTATAAAAGAACTCTGAAAACTGATCTGAACAAAACACATAAGAGGACTGGACAATAGTAGGGCTGCAGCTGGTAGGTCTGAGTAACCTTGTTTCCAGGCACTCACAGTATCTTGCTCTCAGGGGCTGAGTGTACAAACGTCAGTCAGTTCAGTGTCTGCAAGTGAAAACCACTATGCCTGCAGTGTTTACTCCTCATAACACTATTAACACAAAGAGTCAGTCGGCCAAAACAACTCTGCATAGTAGGGACAAATTACACTGTACAACACATCAGTGTGCACACCTCCCCAGTAGGTTATACCATATGGAGACTTTGTGTGGTCAGTTGGCAACATCCACTAATACTAGGTGAACTGAAACAAGGGAGAAAGGACAATTCTCATTCTTGAATAGTTATTATTAAAACTTTACCATGAAAGATCTAAGAGGTTCTGGTTTTGAATGAATTTGTTTGGCACTCTAAAGCATTTAATACAATCGATTGCTTGATCTTCTAGTAAATTATAAGCACTTTAAAAGACTACTGCTAATTCAGAGATTTCAGCCTTATTCTTCAGACTACAAAAAGCTGTTGCTGAGAATAAACTATAAACATAAAACTCAGGTGAAATGACTTTGCGCCTAAATGTATGAATACTTACATCATGTTGAACTTAGCAAGGGGATGATGAATCAACTGAATAATTCCCAGAGGAAAAGTCCACACAGCACTTCATTCCAATGCTGGTATTAATGACAAGCAAAAGTGTGCTTGCAATCATACATGCATCCGTAAACTGATGACACAGTAATCCTCAGAGCAATAACCTTGTTGCAGTGAGACTGTTGCCAAACTAAAAATGGCCTAAACTATTCAGTACATAGCTTACTATAAATCCACACAAGATCAAAATTAAAACAAGTTACATAGAAAAGACTTTGATGTGTCTGACTCAAGCAAAATTAGTGACAAAGCTTTTGTAAAAATTAGTTTGTCTCTGTAAACTAATCACTTGTAATCAGTAACACAATGTCCCATGCTATACTCTTGCACTGTTTTCAAATGAAATTTGACTCACAATTAAGATGATGTTATCTTCTTTCAGGCCCACCAACTGACCAAGAATAGAAATTTTTGATATTTGTTTATGCACCAAAGCAGTAAGCAAAATTCTGTTATAAGGGCACTAACAAAAATTCTCATTTTTCCCAAAGCTGTCTCAGCTACTTATACAAATGTGTACATCTCTCTTTCCTTAGCAATATTTGGGAATTTATTTTATAGATGTGGGGAAGAATAATCTCTTTTAATATAAAATAGCTCAAAACTTTTACATTTAAATAATGTAATAAATAGTTGAGATATGTTCAGTTTATGTATTACAGTTCTTATGTATTCTAATTTTGCACATTTAACAGGATCCTTCCAGCCAAAGTTAAATGCAAATTGCTGAATGAAATGCTCAGGAAGTACTTGTTGTTTTGTCTTCATCAAGTCACTCGCCTTTTTCTTGGTAAGAGGTTTTATATTGGAATTTTCTTATGGCGTATGGTTGGAATAGGATATAGTCTTCTATACTACAATTTATACAAAAATAAGTATCAAAAGATTTAATTTACCTAGAAAGTCTCTCTAATCACAGGAAAAATATGAAGAATATAAAAGAATTTTAGTCAAAAGTTTCTGCCTGTAGTAAAATAAT